TATATATATATATATATATATATATTATAATTATTAATAAGTTTCGGAAAATGTTTACCAACTACTGATTTCGGTGATCTATTACAAAATGAGTTTGTAAAGAAATGACGAAATAAACGATATATTATGTTTGCGAAACAATATCATTACAATGAGCATGCTGGCTTTCTTGAATTTTCTTCATAACTGAAGGCCAACCTGTAAGGGCAGTTTTATGCAGAAAGATTTCACGTTGTATTCTGATAAAATAAAATAATTGTAAAGGGCTGTCGTATTCTAAATAATATAAAAAAAAATATTTTTTTTTAATATTCGTCCGAAGGTCATGGCCAGTATTGCAAAAGCACAAGTACATATGAATTAAGTCGTTAATTTATGTAGATTTAAAGAAGAAGGAAACTTCAGACTTACAATTTTGAGAATCAAAAAGTGTCATATAAAATCGATACACGTTGTTACTGTACAAATTCGCTGTAAACAATATTTGATGCGACTTTGTTGATCCACATTCACAATAAGAAATATATCTCATAAAAATCCGAAAAATGTTTTGAAATTATATTACATGAATTAATTTCAATTATTTCTATTACTTTACATCAACACAATATAAATCTTCATACAACATCAACGGTACCCATCAAAACAAACGCCATTGCTCACATCTTTGCCTTGATTGGCAAGTTTCTCCCATGTCCCAACACTCTGTATATTATATGCGAACTATTTACCATTTTACTAATCTCCCATTCTTATTTATATTTATATCTGTGACATAAGTTTTGCATATGAAATATCTGTAACATCATACGTGTATTTAAAATTTGATAGCCTTATTTTTTTAAATTTCTAAAAATAGAATTATACATGAAAAACTGATAGAGAAAGGAAAAAAGAGGCAAATAATTAATTGTATATCGTATTTGTCTGTTGGGTCACGATGAATGAAATTCGTAAAATATTTTTTTTTAATCATATAATCGATAGTCCCTATTTTGTGTTCCTTAAACGTGTCTGAAGTCTTGATGTGTGGTCATTGCTTTAAATTTTGTTTAATACCTCTAAGTCGAAAACCTAAAACCTAAAAATAATACTATGGAAAATATGAACAGTATATAGTAATAATATATTTTTATTTTTTTATTAATGAAATAACAAGTAATAATATATTTTTATTTTTTCATTAATGAAATAACAAGTAATAATATATTTTTATTTTTTTATTAATGAAATAACAAGTAATAATATATTTTTATTTTTTTATTAATGAAATAACAAGTAATAATATATTTTTATTTTTTTATTAATGAAATAACAAGTAATAATATATTTTTATTTTTTTATTAATGAAATAACAAGTAATAGTATATTTTTCAAACGTATAACACTTCAGCTTGCCCAGATTTCACATACGGCGACACATGCACTGATTCATGCCGCTGTAACAGGTCGAATACCGACTACTGTGACAACCTCCAAGGAGAGTGCTTGTGTAAATTAGGTTGGAAAGGGTACACATGTATTGATGACGTCAGTGAGTGCCTAGGTATAAATATTTTTCTCTGCCCACCTGACTCTGATTGCAGAAACACAGATGGAAATTATACATGTATTTGTCATCAAGGCTTTTTGAAAAATACTTCCACCAACTTGTGTGATCGTAAGTAGAGTTTGTGAATGAGAACTTGTAATAACATTATTGCCATTTATTGTTGAAATAATAATTATATGTTTAACTCTTCATTAAATTTTTTAAACGTCGATAAATGATGAAAATGTAATTAAATATAAACATTTTAAATTTCGAATTTTTTATGTATATAAGAATGAAATATTTTTTTTACAAAGATGCTTTGATAATGTTCGATATATTTTAGTGAATTAAATATATACATTTATTTCATTCACCATTATTGCGAAGCGCATGTTATGTTCTTTGTTATTGCTTAGTTATATATTCACAGGTGCATAATTATTGAAATTTATGTTGATATAGAAACCAATTATTTCAGCACTTAAATTTATTTATGAAAGGTAAGTATTTTAACAAAACACGTCTGTTGGGGATTACAATTTCTAAAACTTAAGAACAAATTTAAGATTTATCTGAATTGATTCAAATTAACATTTTTCTGTGCATAAGTCTTAAAATTTAGACCATAACCCAACTTACATATAAATGAAAAAATAAATTTAAAAAAAATATAAAAAAGAAAAAAAGAAAAAATTGAAATCCCTTGTCATTTTCAAGCATAGCAATGAAATATTTATTTTAAATTCAAAATTTATTTTTTCTGATTATTATTTTAAGAATTATTTCCTAAAGGTTTTCATATCTTGCTAAGTGAAATTTTAAATAATTGTAATACAAAAAGCTTATTTTGTGTTTTATGTAAAATGTTGAATATTAACCTAATCTTTTATGAATTACAGAAATTTGCCTTGAGGGAAGGTAATGTTACGATTTGCATTTAATTAACTATTATCACCGATAATAAAATTATGTGTAGCATTGATTTCAATTTGTGTATCTCTAAAAATAAATGTGTTATAAGAATATATATGCAATAATTTATAACACGTTTAACTTACATAAATAATCATTTACCAATGATTTGTGTGGAAGTAGGTATGTGTTCCGCCCAGTCTTTCATGAAAGGATACAAAATTACCGAATACATTTTCTTCATTTCAGAAAGCAAGCCGTCTCCCGTCTCATCCCTTTCTTATGGACTTGAACACAGGTGAGCATAAAATGAATCCATTACGGCACTAATTTCATGCACAAATGCACCAGCGACAGTGAAGAAGTTAAATACATTATTTCTGATATTCGGCACGATATTAACATATGGAATCATAAAGTTATCTCTTTATCAGTGATCCTTCATTTCTATACTAATTTTTAGGTTAACAAATTTACATCAATAGTAATTGAGTTTTTTTACCTTAACAGTGCGCACCACAGAATATTATGTGACGCATGTTTTAATTTTAAACAACTTAACTTCAGTGTCTAACAATAACGTAAATCATTCCTCTAAAAATTGAGCTGCATATTTATTAAGATTTTTATAACACTTTCGTTTTTATTTTTATTTTGTATTTAAAGTATCTGTTTTGACTTGATTCGAAATGTCTGCTGTCGATGGCATCTAGCCCTAACATCAGTTAAATTTAATTGCCTGTCTTTTCTTTCAAACCTAAACTTATCCTATTCGACATTTTATTTACTTCTCACATTTTGAGCGCAGTCCCTCACGTAGTATCCTCAATTTCATGCACACCCTTCTACAATACGTATTTGCGCTAACATAAATGATCTAGTAGATATGCTTACTTGACATCTGAACACTCAACCAGATTAAGAATTTGATGTCGACGCATGAAAAAATTAAACGTGTTGAATTGTCTTTAGAGTGCTTTAAACTTCATCTTAAAAAGTGTTAACATCTTTAGCAACGAGTTAATCTTAGTTTCTATTATCAAAATTGTAACTTAACTTTAACATAACTGTACAAATGTAAGCTGGTTAATACGTTGTTTTTTTGTGATAAGAAATGTTTGAGAAAAGATATTTTTAGGCGCTACTGATACTAAATTTCAAGAAGAGTTACGAACGTATACTATCCAAGAGAAATGTTGAGTGGATTTATCCCTTTAGTGGAATAAAAAAAATTTAAAAACATTTAAACTTAGGTACTCATCGAAATTGGCATTATATAACCAAAAATATTATTAATAATAAAAGAAAAGAAACAATTAAGTTGTTAAAATCTTTTTTTTATAGTTATTTTGCATATAATGCATTCTAAAAGTCTTAATTTCTTCCTTGATGTTTAAATTATATTCTGAAACCAGTAAATAACCCATTTGCTGAAGATCTGTACTTCTCCAAAAATAAGATGAGTATCTTTTTTTAAAACATGGCTTTAAATTTCTTGCATGCACATTTGCTACTTTACGATTTGAATATTTACTTTTTTATCTTTGTTTTCAAATAGAAATGCGACTATGTGCGAAAACAACAAGGGCATTGTTACCCCTATACACCAGACATTATCAGCCAAAGACTGCAGCTTGAGAATAAAACGAAAACACAAAGATCTCATCAATCATGGACAGATTCTGATGATTGGTGTGCTATAGCCAGGTCAAATGAGTCAATATTTAAAAGATCTTAGAAATTATTGACAAATAATGAGTGAAACGTTCCATGAGAGCAAATGAGATTGACATTTTCAGAAAATGGACTTTCACTGCATTTTTATGCAGTTATCATTTTATTCATGTAAATTATATTTCGAAACTGTTGCTATCCACAATGGACTGATAGATTCAATGGAATTTTGAGTTTAGTTGCATTGTGTAGATTGAAAGTTACAATGTAGCAGGATTTGTAGATGTTTTGATAAAGTGAATCGAAATTACTGCAAGTCTGCGAAATGATAAATATATTGTATTAATGAGACTTAACGTGATTGTAAATAAGCTGTTGTTTCAAAAATGGCAATGTTATAAATCAAGTATATACATCAGATAAGACGAAAAGGGATGTGGATGCAGTTCTTGTAAAAAGGAAAGATGTAAGAGTTTGTGTTGTGGAGAGAAAGACCAAGATAGAACGATATTATAGAGGATCGAGGGGATTAAAGGGAGGTAATCTAGATTGAATGAATTGATTGTTATCGGGTATAGTGTTAAAGCTGGGAAACAAGAGAAATAGTTAGTATTATATTTAATATTATAATGGCAAAAACAATAAATACTAACACGTTGTTTCCATCTGCGTGCCTATGTCTTTAATGAGTTGTTACAGGCAGTTCACATGGCCTCTTACCTCACAACTCATGAATCACGAGACTCACGTATTCCCAAAAAACGCGACGCAATTGTAACAATACAATGACATCAGAACAGTTGGTTGTGTTATAGTTGGAACTAACATAGATCCTAGTTACTAATGTTTTTTTCGTGGATCATTTTGAATTGATGGTGTACCATAAAAAACAAACAAATAAAAATGCATACATCATCCAAGAATATATTAAGTGTCGAAAAGCATTTTAGCTTCATAGTATTCATTTCTATTATTATAAAATAATCAGAAATACACAATTGTATAATATTCTTGTTTTATAGTAAAAAGCAGCAATACAGACATAGAACTTTCAATAATTGTTTTTTCACTTTTAAAAATACTGTTTGCATTTTCGTGTTTTTTTTTAAACTCTTCTTTTAAAAGTCAAAGGCAGGATTTATTGTGAAAAAAAAAATATGCAAAAAAGGAATTACAATAACTAAAAGCATACCAAGTTCAAGATAATTGTTTTTTGTGTTCTTTTTTGCTGCAAAGGATAATTATTAAACGGTTTTTTTCACAACAAAGCACTTGTGGGATAGAGCACTCTTGATCGTGTTAGGAGGAGTAAAGATTGGTGATCCTTATGCATCTTTGCTTTAGCAGTTTGTCTGGTTAACCTAAGTAATGATACATGTCTTCATTAAATGCAGGCCAGAAAACTGTACAGCACATACTAAAAAGTTTTAAAAACTCAAGAAGTTGATTTTTTTTTCTGAAACGACTTTAACGTAGCCACTTTTTAAAGGGAACATAAATCTTCAACAAAAAATGTCACACAGAAATTGGGTTAAACTGTAAAAAAGACTAAAAACGCCAAAACATTGGGCATTACACATGGAAACGCCTACAACGGTATCGCTTTATTAGTGTTTCAAATATTTGTGTGTAGGGTGCATGTTTGTCCAGTAAGCACAAACAGTAAAATGGGAGTAATTTTTGAGTTTAGCAATAGTTCAAAGCACAAATACATAACACCCTGGAAATAAATATAAAAAGGTAGTTTCTTCTTCCGAAAACTAAGTTAAAGAGGTTGGGGGGAGAAGGTTTATTCATTTTTTAAAAATTTTGTATAACTATATCTTGAAAACAAATGTCATAACCGTCCATGGGCGCCTGCAGGTAGGGGCAAGGTGGGGCACTTGCCCCCCCCCTGGATTGATTGGATAAAAAAATTCTAGACACAAATAGACAAACAAATTATTAAAGTAAAGAGAAAATAAAGAGAAAGTAACTAAGCTGAAGTCCTGTCCGTTCTTTCACCATACAAATACGCTACAGTAAATTAAAACTACATTAAAGCATTACTAAAATTTTTTTGTCCCCCCCCCCTGGAAAGTTAATCGATTTTTTGCCCCCTCCCCTAGAAAGTTTTCTGCTGGCGCCCATGTAACCGTCGTGAGAAATAGTTTTATTTACTTACTTTTAAAATAAATAAATATGTCTTATACCTAAGTCAGAAAACGCTTTTTAAGAGAGTTGACAAATTTTAGGGAAATTTACATTGCTAACACGTATCTCTAAGCTCAATGAATTGGGAAAGCAAAAGAGTGGATCAGATTTTCATTTAATTCAAGTACATATAAATATTTCAATTTTTCCAAAAGATAAAGCTTATATGTAAGGATAGAGGCTAGACACATATAAATAAGGTCGGTGTTATTTATGACGTGTTTACGACATATTCCCCCGTGCTTAGATTACTAGCAGACTCTGGGTTCGTATTAGGCGTGGCCTATTTCTTTTGATCTTTTTT